ATTAATAATCAATTTTTTGCTATTTTAAAAATAAATTTAATTTTTACCTTTTGATTCAAGTAATTTTTTAAAATAACCTTGTAATGGATAATAATAAAAAATTCTTATTTTTTATTACTATTATTTTTGTTTATGAAAACAACACTACACAGCCATTTTGATATAACCGAATCAGCTCTTTTTCCAGCAAAAGTGTTTCCAACATTCGTCAACAATAACGTCACTGCCAATAGCAACTGCTCAGCACACTAATGAATAAAAGAAACCAGTGTTGCTGTCTTTTTAGCAATTTCACTTTGAACTTGTATTTTATTGTAAGATTGAATTTGGCTGTCAGTTTACATACTAAAACAAACATCAGTTTAGAATTTTTAAAAATCAAATTTTCTTAGTTTTCTCAATTTTTGGACAGGTAAAAATACCCCCATGCTAAAATTGGGAGGGTAAATTAAGATTTTAGGGGTAAAATACGTGCTATGGCGGGTAAATGGAAACACTGGCCACTAGACATATATTATTTTAAAATTTGTTAAAAATTCAATTTTTATCGTACCATTTAGGAAAGAATCCCGTGTACACGTTTTTGTAGTTTATGATTATTTAGTTTTTATTTATTAATATCAAAAATTAGTTACAAAAAAAATTGTTTATAAAATAATTTATTTTTATTCATTCAACTTTGTCATCGAGCTAGCTTGAATCAGAAGTTTGTCCTTTACATTTTGGTACAGTACATATTGACATAATTAATGAAAAGCAATTCTTACTTATATTAAAAAGTACATATTAATGGTTATTGTAATTCTGTTAAATGAGATTGATATTTTAGTATAAAAACTAATTTCGATGTATATTATGAAAAAAAGCATGTGTTTAAAAAACAAATAATAAAAAACGATAATTAAAAAAAAATTCAAATTTTATACAAAACTCTAATTTTTCCAAACAAAGGAAACACGTGCATTACGTAATGTGTTCAAAAAGTATCGGACCTTTGGTCGGCAAAAATAAATTTATTGACTTTGAGGTACAAAACCCTAATCCCCTTCAAAGTAGTCTCCTTGGTAATGTATACACTTCTCCCAGCGTTCCTGCCATTGCTGGAAACACTGCTGGAACGCATCTTTTGGAATGGTTATCAGCCGGTCCGTCGCATTTCGCATGATGTCTTCTCTCGACTAAATTTGGGTTCCTTTTAGCGGCATTTTCAGCTTGAGAAATAGCCAAAGGTCACACGGAGCCATGTGGAGAGAGTACGGAGCGTGACGAACCACAGGAGTATTGTGTTTGGCGACGAAAGCCCGAATCAGATGCGCAGAATGGGCGGATGCGTTATCACGATGGAGCTGCCAAGTTTTGATCGACCACAGATCCGGTCGTTTGCGTCGCACTGTATCGGAAAGACGACGAAGGACCTCCTGGTAGTACTCCTTTGCGATGGTTTGGCCTTGTGGTGCGTACTCACGACACACCACCCCACGAGAGTCGAAAAAACTGTCAACATGACCTTTGATATTGCTGCGGACCTGCCGCGCTTTTTTTGGCCTCGAGGATTGTCCCCGAAAGCCTGCTGAATCTTGCGAATGGTTTATGCTCGGGTATCACCAAGGTTTTTGGCAAAATTTGATGTAATATCGCTGCTCATGTTGTTCAGTCATTTTCCAGCTTAGTGGAATCCGACGAGAGCGCACTACATGACCTCACTCGTAGGCCGATTGCCAACGACTGACGCTTCCTGCAGGCGGGAAAAAATTCAGGGCTGTGCATGACTGTCCCCTCCAAAACTCCACCGAAAGAGGCCTCCCGCGCATCATTGGTTTATGTGGGGAAAAAAGGTCCTATACTTTTTGAACAGACCTCGTATTTTGTTTTTTTTTCATATTTGTTTTATTGTTTTATAATCCTTATGTTGTTTTCTTTTCATAATTCCTACATATATAAGTTGATTATGTGTGTAATTATATTCAGTTATAATTTTTTAAACAAAGAAAAACACATACAATGTTTTATTTTTCTTAGTTTACTTTCATTCATTTGATGTTTTATTATAGTTTTGTTAATTGTTTTATCAATAAAACCTACATATATATTTATTATTTATATAACTTATTGTATTGTTTTATTTATTTATAAACAATACCATAAATTATATAAATAATAAATATTTATGTAGATTTACCAATATTGCAGTAAACAAAAGTATAATGAAACAGCAAAACAAAACTAAAAAAAAAAACAATATTAAAATGCGCATAAAACGAAAGATTGCACATGTTTCCTTTGTTTGAAAAAATTATAAAATATATTATATAAATTACAACTATATGTAGGACTTGCCGATTTAGCAGTAAACAGAAATATAACAAAAATGTATTATGAAATCATGTTATACTGCTGGTTTTTTTTTTCTTTTTTTTGGTTTGGTGAGTATGTTAATATTAATATGAACTCAGTTCTTAGTTGTTACTGTATGCTATTATTTTGTGTTGAGTATCTTTTGTACAGTCAACCCCCCTATAACACTGTTGATAATTCCATGTTATATGAATGCCATGTTGTATGAGTCACTTAGATTTTACAAATACATGTGCCAGGCTGTGAATGGCTCACATATTTGTAAAATCTAAGTGACTCATACAACATGGAATTCATATAAAACGGAATTATCAACCGTGTTATGGGGGTTGACTGTATATGATAATACCAGAATATATTTTTGCAAGGTTTTATTTGATTACAATAACTGTAAACAAGTTAAAAAGTTCTACAATGTTTTCTTATCAAGTGATAGAACATTTAAATGCATTTTCAAACTGATAAACAACTTTCTATGTGATATATTTCAAATTTATATTACATTCCAATTTTTTGTAATTTGTTTGGAGCACATTATTTTAAATATTTGAATATGTTCCTCTTTAGAATTTATGGTTGTCAGTTTCCATGTTATATTTATAGAATTCCAAAAATTTTACTTTTTTTTTAGGAATTTAATGTGTGCTACTTCATGTAAATATTGTCTGCTAATGATGTTAAAAACATCCAAAAACATTAGTGAGAGAAATAATAAGTTGCTAGTGTAAAAAGGTTTTGAATTTTTTTTTTCAAGAAGTTCCAGTTAGAATACATGGGCTAATTTCAAGATTAATATATTTTCTAGTAAAACAATTCAAAAAATTTTAATATCTAAAGACTTTCATTAAAGATTTTACGCATTTGTACTATATGGTTACATTAAAAAATCGAAATACTGTATTTGTAAACTGAAAAATGGTACATTTATTCAACATTGTCACTCTTACCTTATGTTGAAAAAAGTGTGTGAGTGTGTGTGCGCACACACATGCATGCTTTAAGTATTGCATTATTATTCTAATAATAATAAAGTGACAAAAATTATGGATTTATTTCCATTAATATTTTCCTCAAATAATAATTGCACCCAATTCCCAAAGAATATAAATATTATTTGCTCTCTAATAGCAAGCACACACTAATAAACAACACAGTTGCAAACTGAAAAAGGTTGCAGATAGCATATTGTTTATTAAAATAAATATGGTAATAAAGAAAGAACAATTTTTGTTTTAGTAATAAAGGAAAAATATGATTACAACAATTTGAACCATTTATAAGTATAAATCATATTCATATCATATGTAGTGTGTATAAGCAGAAAAGAAATTTGGAGATTTTATGAAAAAATTTATTATTTATAATGTTATTTTATACAAATGATGATGTTTTTTTTTGAAATAAGTTTTTCAGAACATCTAAATCCTTTCCATAATTTTGACTTTTCAAATTTAATCATATAAATTTTGTTACAGTATATTTTTGAGTTTCAATCAATTCTAATGTGCTGCTATAATTTGTTAAATAAATTATGTGGNTAATCTATGTATTTATATATATATATATATTCATCACCTTTTTCCATAGCAAAGCAAGAGTTATTTGTTTTTTTCTCGACAACATATTACAATTAGCAGTGAGATAAAAAAACAACCATTGAGCACTGATAACAATATTGTGGATCTGCTCTGCTCAAGCCTTTGACTAGAATATCTCCCACAAACACTGTGTCTTCAGAAACAGACGGTTCACTCAATGACATCAATGCATGAAGTACAATTTCAGCTTCTGGATTCACATATTCATCCACCTTTTTCCATAGCAAAGCAAGAGTTATTTGTTTTTTTCTCGACAACATATTACAATTAGCAGTGAGATAAAAAAAACAACCATTGAGCACTGATAACAATATTGTGGATCTGCTCTGCTCAAGCCTTTGACTAGAATATCTCCCACAAACACTGTGTCGTCACACAATTTCAGCTATATATATATATATATACAGTAATACCTTGACTTACGCGATTTTCAAATCTCTTCAATTCATCTTTTTTAGCGCACCACGCAACTCTTGATTACTCACTCTCCCCACACTATTGTTCAGCTTACATGTTTGGACGTGTCGCGTGGAATTGACACATAGCTACAATTTATTTTGTGTTATTTATTTCTGTGTTTGTTATATCTACAGAGACTTGAGAGACTATATGCTGTGATTTCTTGTAACCATGAACTCGTTAATCTTATTTCATCTTTTGATTCAAAACACAAGATAAGATTAACGAGAACATTTATTAGCTTACATACACCTGACTTGGATTTTACAGAAATTACGAAATTATACCCCGACTTACACGAATTTGACTTATGCGGTTATCGCTCGGTCCCACCTATCGCTTAAGTTCGGGGTATTACTATATATATCTTACAAACAGTAAGATTTAAATTAATTAAAAATCTAAGATAAAAATTTTTCATTAAAATTAAAGGTATTTGTTGTTGTTGATATATTGTCAAGTGCTTATTTTTTGCACAACGCTAAGGTGATGAAATATCAAGTGACAGTGAAATGGTTAATAGATTGGGAACAAATAACTAAAAAAAATGCAAAAATTTATGTCATTTTGAAGGAACACAAAACTTACCTGACAAGTAACCGCAAGTGTGTGACACAATTGAGTTTTTCCTGTCCGAAATTCACCAAATATTTCTGTTATAGAACCAGTTTCGATGCCACCTATTCAAAAAGATTACATATAAAATTTCAAGTCACTAATTTAATTAAAGAAATGCATTAAGAACACAAATAAATTTTAGTATTACCTCCTAATAACTTATCTAATTCTTTAGATCCTGTAGTGATTTGAATAATTTCTGATCTTTTCTGATGAAATTCTGTGGCCGTCGTAAATCCCATCGGAACCATTTTCATGGCCTCCATCTAAGAATGATCAAAATATATTATAAAAGACAAAGTTATTTGTTTAAATGAAGATGATGAGCAAACCACATACCAATATTTTATCCGCCTTTACTTCGCTGATTCCCTTTATGCTAATCAGTTGCTTTTTTGGTGCAAATGCAACCGCTTCTACAGTATGAAAGCCAGCTGTTTCTAATTTCTTAATATCCAAGGCATTAATACCATTTCCCTAAATTTTTTAAATAAAACTTAATAAACCTTTTTATAAATCATATATATATATATATATATTTTTCAAACTAGACCATACTTCTAATTTTTGAATTTTCTGAGGTCCAAATTCGTCACATTCATCGTCGACGACTTCTTGCTGCATGGCCATTTTTGAACAAAAATATCTACAAATATGCATTAAAAAATCGAATTATTAGACCTTAAATGCATTAGAAACTGTATTTTCAAAGAAACAAAGATTAAAAATAATAATATATGATCCACATGCAAAGTAATAAATGAAAATTTGTATGTGCATAATTGTAATTGCAAAGTTAACTACATGCAGTCCGATCCGACTAATACAAGTTACTTGGTATTTTGCAAGTCTCAAATTTAATGTTTATTTACAAATAATAATTATTAAAATAACAAGTGCAAATAACAAAATTATTTTTTTATTTAAATTTAGTTTAGATGAATAAAATGTTTAATCACAAAATATAAATTGATTAACAAATGTACGGCACAGTCCACATAGCTTCACTTTATATATATACAGTAAGACCCTGCTTAACACAGGAGATGTGTTCCTAGACAACAAAGCACTAAACGAAACACCATTAAACAAGTAACACAAACATATGCACACAGAAATGTATAATAATATATTAATTAGTTCATATTTTCTATATTAATACTTTATTTTTTGTGACGAAGGTCCTGACTTTTCTGAAATACTTGTTTTTTGTATTTTTAATAAAGTCGTGAAGTTTCATTTGTCACTTTTTTCTTTCCTTAAGCAAATTTTGGTAGCAGAAGATCGCATCCAAAATGCCTCATTTTGCTTTTTCACTCCTTTCAAAATCTAGATCATTTGCTACAATTTGATCAATGATTTCAGTTATCATTACCAAACTTTTACTAAGGAAATATGTAGAGAAATTTTTTGGGTTCTTTGTTTTCAGAATCCCTATTTACCAGTTCTACATGAATTACTTGTTCTGCCAGTTTTTGAAGATCGTCGCTGGTAAGGCTCTCACCAGAAACCTGCAGTAACTCCTCAATATCTTGCTCATCTACACCTCCTAGTCCTGCTATATATCGATTAGGTTGACCAAATTATCAACCCTAATGATACAGCGATAGACTCTTCTCGTTGAGAATTCTTGTAATTTTGAGTACCAATGTAATTTTATTAATGTTTACTATTTTTGGCACTTCCCTCGTTATTACGGGAATTAAAAATTTTTCTTTATTACTTTTAATTTTGCATCTTTTTTTTGAGTTAGAGCTATTGCACACTTAAAATTGGTTTGAATATGTGTAATATCCTCTATAAAAAGTTGTTTGAATATGTTTTTAGACACTGGTAACTGGAAAAAAAGGCTGCAATTTGCTGGTCTGGAATCTAACCATATTAGCAAAGTATGACTATCTGTAAATTAAATTTAATACAACAATTATGTAATTATGTATCAAGTATTTTAATGGGCATCATCTATTTAAGAGCATTTACCATAACCATGTCACTAGTGAAAATTGTAACACAATTCTCATGAATGCAGTGCCATTTTATTATTCACATTGCAAACTCTTTTAGCATCATCCAATTTTAACGTATAGTACAATACAGAGAGAAATGCGAGGATCCAAAATTATGTAAAATTTTAATTTTACAAATTTTTCAAAATTGGCAAACTTGGAGTTAAAATATTCAATACTGGATTTTTCTTAGTCCTTTGTCTTTTCAGAGAGCATGGTGATATTATGAATTGATGGCTTTAATTGTATCCTTCCACTTTTCACGGTGTTGTGCTATCTGGATGGCTTCTTGTGTTTTATGTCCTGTAATTGCCATTACTTGGTCTGTCCACCTATTCCGACTAGAATTCCGACATCTGCCTCTAGGGCATTTGCCTTAGAGGCAGATGTCGAAATTCTAGTTTTTCCCTTCTAGAATTTGTTTCTCAAATCCATTTTTACGTGAGATGTCCCAAAAAGCAAAAGTAGGATTGGTGTATTATAGTGGTAAGGCGTGTTATGATTTTCAGTTGATTTAGGATGGAGTAATTTGTTTGGTGCTCCATGTAAGAGATTCTTAGCATTCTTCTATATCTCCACATTTCAAAGGAATCAAGTTTCCTCCATGAAGTGGTAGTCATAATCCAGGTTTCTGCAGAATACGTGGTAATCAAAAAAATTAACATTCTTATGAGTTTTAGTTTATTAAAGTTAGAAATCACGAAATCTTTCCAAATTCTATACAATTTACAGGTTGCATTGCGAGCAAGGCAAATTCTGTATTTTATTTTATTATCACATCCTCCTTTATTCATGAGAAGTGAAGCAAGGTAAACAAATTCATTGACTACCTAACAGCCTGCGATTTCCTTAGCCTGTGGCAAGGAATGGTCGATTATCATGACTTTCGTTTTATTTCTGTTAATCAGTAATCCATATTCACTGCTCACAGTTTCAAGTCTTTCCATAATATATTCAAGTTCTGATTCACTGGATGCTATAATAAGAGTATCAGCAGTATACCTCAGGTTGTTAACTTTTTTTCTCCCAATGGAAATATCTCCGTTCCAGTCATCTAAAACCCTTCTCATTATTATTTCAGAATAAGCATTAAAGAGTAAAGGGGAGAGAATATATCTTTGTCTTACACCAGCATTAGTTGTAAATGTATTAGATATAGTTTTGTTAACCTTACTCTTACAGAGTTGTTCTTGTATAAATTTCTGATCATCGAGATATGACGACGTGGGACTCCCATTTTCTGAAGAGTGGGCCATAATTTGTGCCATTTTACACAGTCAAAGGCTTTAGCATAGTCTACAAAACAAAGATAAGCTTTGACATTAAATTTGTAGGCCTTTTCGATAATTTATCGGACATTCAAGATTTGTTCCTGGGTTTCTTTACCAGGAATAAACCCCATCTGTTCTTCAGCTATTTCAGGTAATAGGAAGGGTTTCAAATGGTTATTAATTATTTGGAGCATTACTTTACTGGCATGGTTGATTAGACTGATAGTTTTGTAATTGCTACAATCTGTTGGTGCACCTTTTTTATAAATTGGAATAAATATTGATTTACACCATTCTTCTGGCCAGTGCCGTAACTAGGCAGGTGCAGCAGGTGCACCCACTTGGAAGGGGGGCCCAAAATGCATGTATTAGTTTTATTACTTTCCCAAACCTAATTAATTAAGGGGCTTAAATGCATTCTTGCTTAGGGCACAGGAATGGCTAGTTACAGCACTGCTTCTGGCCATCTCTTTACTTTCCAAATTAAGGAACAGATTTTATGACATATATCAATGCCCATTGCTTTTAAAATTTCGGAAGTTATGTTATCAGATCCAGGAGCCTTATGATTTTTTAATTAATGTACAGTACTTATGGCTTTTTCCACCTCTGATTTAAGAATAGATGGTTCAACTTCCCTTGTCCATCCATTCTAAAGTTGATTATCATCATTCTTTTGTCCTGTATCTTTATAAAGTTTCTCACAGTATTTCCCAGCATGAGCTGTTTAAAGAGTGTGATCTTATGCACTGGACCTTTAGACTTGTAAATGGATTCCAATTTGCTCCAAATTTCAAAAGCAGTCTTACAGTCCTTGATCTGTTCAGCTCACTGGAACTGATTGAGAGAATTAAGTCAGTTTGGGCTTTGAAATCATCATTTTCCCATGTGGCTGTTTTGTCCTCATCATTAATGGGTTGTGGGTAGGTGTCACTCACATATTTCCATGTTCCATTTTTAATTAAGACAGCTTTTGCTTGGATTTTCCATGTATTATAGTTATCCTTCTTTAAAGGTTCGATTTTAATTGTGGTCATCATTATTAAATACTATATAGTGACTGAATGATAAGAATCACAACTGTTACAATTGAAAAATTGTTGTACCATTTCAAATTCTGTGGGGTTACAGTATCTGTGTATTAATATATGCAACTAATAATAAGTTTCATTCAAATCCATTTGCTGCATCTTTGTTCACTAGTTTGGCTGCAAGTTGACTTCTCAATACTTTGGTGTAACTTTCAGATTTGAAATTTGAATTATTCAGTCTTTATTCGTCCGATGTTCTTAAAATTTGGCACAAACGTTCATCTATAACAGTATTCTTGATGATCCAAATTTCAATTGATTATTATAATTAGAGGTGAAGCTATCAATGACTGAACTTTGTGACCATGTGGCCTGCATTTTTGTTCTTTGTGATGCCATTCAGAAGGCGATAATTTTAGCATTTATTATCTATTGGCATGAAATTTATAAAAAAATTTCATGCCAATTTCATTGCTTTGCTCTGCTGATTTTCCAAGCTTCATAGTGATTGGATTAGTGGATTGTGAGAAACAGTCCATAAAAATCACCATGTGCTGCAGTTCCATGTTTCTATCTTGGGAATTTTGCTTCTATTCCTCTTCAGATGGCATCTGCTAGGGCAATAACCTGTTGTAGTTGGTGCAGAGTTGGTAGCAAGGTAAGGAAAAGGAATTACTTGGTTGGAATAGTTTAATTTACACTATACACAGTAGACGTACAAAAGAGCAAGGAGGTCTACATAGAACAGGATCATTTTATATATGGAAGATCTAAGCGCCACCTAGAATGTTCCAAGGAGAGTGCCATGATACTCTCACCAACACCCATTTTATATGAATTCCATGTTGTACGAGTCACTTAGATTTTACAAATGCATGTGCCTTGCTGTGAACAGCTCACGTATTTGTAAAACCTAAGTGACTCTTACAACATGGAATTCATATAAAATGGAAAAATCAACAGTGTTATAGGGGATCGACTGTATTTATGTAGAACTGATAATGATCTAAAATGCCAAAAATGCATTTGTTGTTATTTGTCTTGATTTATACTTTAAATTTGACTATACTTTAAATTTATAGGTGATAGTACAATAGTGAGATATAGCAATCTAGGACAGGAATATATATTAATCAACTTAAAGATTGATCAAATTGGATATTAATATACTGTATTTGTGACATTCTTACCTGTCTGTAATGATCAAATAATTAGAATTAAACACTTACCAAAAATAGACTCCTCTCACATGATCCTGTTCAAAATAACAATCAAGGCACCACTGTACCTAAAAATGGCAGCCAACCATATCTATTCACAACACCCAAGCATACAATATTTTCTATATTTTCAATTTGTTTGCTTTTTATACTTGGTTGGAGCAGTAGTTTGTGATTAGAAAAAATGTGCCATCTATATTTATTATGTAAATGAAAAATAGTTCATTAGATACATCTGGTAAATATAGAAAAAAGTTTGCTGAAAACTTTTCTTCCTTATTTAATAAGAGAAGACAGGACAGGACAATTATATATTTTTTATTATTATTTTCATATGTGTATATCAACACTTGACAAATTATTAAATCATTTGCAAATACTTTAAATTCTAAGTTGTCAAAATTCTGAAATGAGTGATTCATTCCACTGATTTGCTGTTAAACTTAAATTTATATTCTTCTAAAGTTATATTCTACAAAACAGGTTTTTCTTAAACTAAATTTATTAGTAATTCAACATCCACAACATAATCCCTTGTTAAAAAATTTCCATACAAAAGACTAAGATGTTTTCATTTTCATCATGTCAAATCACTAGGAAAAACAGTTCCATTGCAGAGACAACCTTTTATTAGAGGCCACGCCTCTGCAAAAACATGTAAAACAGTCTAAAAAGTTTACAAAAAAATATATAATTTCTTCTTACAAAAATGACAAAGACATTTTTTTTTTAATTGTTGGCTTGCCACGTGAACTTTTTAAACTGTTTTGCATGTTTTTGTATTGGCATGGCCTCTAATAAAAGGTTGTCTTGGCAATGGAAGACTGTTTTTCCTGGTGATTTGATGTTACGAAAATGAAGACATTTTACTCTTTTCTACAGAAATTTTTTAGTGTGTAAATTCATTAGCCATATTTTTTAAAAAGAAATAATCCCCCATTTTAATCAAAAGAAAATTTCACATATCTTATAGGATATGTAGATAAAATCATTAAACATTGGTAGTTGGTTTTAGATTTGCAACTCACCAACAGATTGGCCATATGGAGTTTTATTCACGTTTCTAACACCTAAATAGAAACCAGTTTAACACAAAGTCCTTTGGGCAGATTGCCTTGTCCGATCGACTCAATCTACTAATCCTTGCTGAAATTGGCAAAGCAAAAAAATCATAACAGGTTAAAGAGCATAAACATAATCTTGACTTTATATGCCAAAAAAATCACATTGGGCTCCAGTGACACAAAACTCATGACTATTAATGTGAATGGCTCCATAGAAATCATTGGTTGATAGCAATTTATGGCACTGTGGGTAGACAAGGTCATTGTTTCAAACTGGATCATGCAAAAGGAGCCAAAGAAATGTAACAATATGTAATTTTTGGATAGTTAAACATTAATCCTTAGATAACATTTAATATTGACCCCCAGGAGTCAATAAGGCATTTTCAGTGGTCAATTGAAAATGGTCTATTAAAAATTATTAATGCAATGGGTTATGTATATGACAGTTCAGCAGGATGTAAATTTGCACACCAAGTAGATCTTTTCTATGAAAATCATACATAGAATAACACTCATTCATCAGATTTATTTATTTGATTATTATTACTATTGAGTGCATTAGCAAAAAAATATGATGGAAGTCAGAAAACCTGGTTTATTCAATTTCGTTGTCATCTAAAATTTCTTTATTCTGATTGAAATGTATTTTTTTTAAGGTTGTCGTCACATGTACAGATCATCATTACTATCAACTCATGTAAAATTAAAATTTCATACAAAAAAGTCCATATCCCCTTTTATGTTTTCTCTATTCGATTTTTATCTACACATATATTAAGCAACAAGCCAAAAGTGAACCAAAGCCACTGTTATCAGTGACTTTGGTTCACTTTTGGAGACTCGAGTCTGGAATTACATCCAGACAAATAATACAAAGTGATCTTGAGGTATGATTTGCATTTTAAACTAGTGGTGAATTTGGCTGTAAATTTTCTGTGGGTCTGGGAAAAATTCCCCAGTTCTCCCCTCTCGACAGCCCTACAAATCATTACTGATGATTAATGTGACAAGTCCAGTGGCCAAACAAGATGGCCGATCTAATACCGAAACTGGGTGCTCATGGCAAAAAATGAATACATTTGTTCTGGATGATGCAAGGTCTACTTTATTGGGAAGTTCCTCCTCATGGCAACACTATAAATAATATATTTTAATGCCTCCTCCTGGATAAAGTTCTAATATAATAGAAAAATGTCACTCCAGTAACATAGCATTTCTCAAACAACAGTCTGCAATGATATGACAGGTGGTAAACAGGCAGTCTTAAATTAATAAAGATTAAAACTTCGTTCAATGATGATTCACATTTAATAGTGTACTTCCAATTTAACCATGTGTATTAATATTAAAAACATGTTTTTAGATTTATTGCTATAAGTGGCACAGTATGTCCCAAATGTGGGTAACACCTTTAAAAAGTTTAGTATAACTTCATGTGAGACTCAGCCGTGTTTACTTAACTACAGCCTGACCCAAATCATTAACAATACTATTTTATCGATTAAGTATCAGATTTCACACCTGGGAGTTAATCACTCAGCAAGTTCTCAGTCGCAAAACGACGACTAACCTTCGCATAACCTTCCGACCTATTATTGCAAAGTTCTCAAATGAATATAGCTGCAAACCGATTTTCGTCACAGTTGTTGCCGTTCTTTCTATGTGTTACCATCTTCACCTGATTCTTAAAAGGTTTTAGTTTCAACTCATCGCTCAGTGCATATTCTTGGATTTACCTACAAACCATTGACTTATGAACGTCTTAAGTGCCAACCCCTTGGATTATTTCATCAGAAACCCAGCGAACTAAGTGCCTCTTATTGGGATTATTATGAACGTCACCGATTTGGAACTGTTGAACCTCGTAAAGACTTGCCCAACCTCAAGATAATTATCACCAAGCGGCAATTGTAAACTCTCTCTCTCTCATTTGTGTATTATACCATTGAAAGAACTTAAATAACCTTAAATGTAAAAGATGTAGAGTCTATCGGTACCCATTAAACTCTTGTTATATTAACTGAGTCACTTCCGGTGCACTTGCGCTGTCTCTCACTCCATCTGCCCAAACGACTGCATCTGCTTGCGTAACAACCGTAACCCTGATGGAGGTTACACTGGTGTCAGTCCTGACAAAGACTGAGACCTACCGGTCACACTTCATAACTTACTGGATAATAAAATATTTTCAGACATTTTACCGGTCCCCGGGTTTAAAAAAGTTGAGAAATGCCGGAGTAATATAATGCTCAATCTTGGACAAGAAAGGGTAATCATCCACCTCAGTCCAGACATCGTTTCTTCACACTATGACTTATTTCATTTCCCAAAAGAATTTTTCAAGGTCAAAAACATGCGCCATTAAACATTTTCCCGAATTTATTACAGTCGTCTCAGCATCCGCCAGTGATACATTTTCCAGTTTTGGAGTAATTTTTATTAAGAATTTTCTCCGGAGAAAAATTCACCACAGACAAAGAGCTTGATTTTGCAATGGATGCCTTCTTCCGATCCAAACGGGAAGGCAATTTCTTCGAGGAACAAAACATCACCAAACAGATAGAAAACATAGTCAATTACGGGAAATACGGTCTCATAACACCGTCACATTGCAAAAACCATCATTTTTACCAGCGTAAAAGTGGCAAATAAATACGACAAGGACTATATATTTCAATAAATCTTCCTTCAAGTGATACAACCACGCGACAGAGAGAAACATTAACAGTCAATCATCAATTTGGAATATTATCTCAATCCTTTTATTTAAAATTTTCATTAATATTTTGTTAATCATTTACCATTGCAGGAGGCAAGTTTCAAAAGTAAGAAAATTATTCCAAACGATTCCTCAGTTTGCTCGTCATTTGGGAGACGAGTTACGGAACAGAATGCGATGGAGGAATCACCCGGAACAAATGATTCCTCACATTCCCGTTCCAGGCAATTACAATGCAAGCAAACACCAATTATGTTTTGAAAGAACAGATGTCATTTTCTTCTTTCCTTGATTAAGAAAAGGTAAATCAAATGCCATACTTTTGTTCTGTCGTTTATAATGAAGTTAAGGAAATGAATGTGCTTGGAGGTTTCTTACCTTCGAATCCATATTATAATTTTCATTTAGAAAGAAAATTTAGAGGACGACGACTCAGAACATTATTACAGAACACGAGTATTGGTGTAAACCCTTTGATAGAAATTACGGTAAAAGTCCATCCTTTATACGAGTAAATGACTTTAAAGTAATATCTAATCCGTTATTAAGCATTACTTACCTTACGCAATCGATAAATTAAATAAAATAAATATGTTGTGGAAAACAAACCTCCGTCGTTTTCGTCTTAACCGCTTCGATTGACGTCATCGATAAAGCGCCCCCTCTCGATTAAAATTTATAATTATTATTTTTAAAGAGTTATATTTAGAAAATGTTTTTAAATATTTATTATTATTATTATTAACGTAAATCTTATATATTTTAAATTATACTGTCGTTCGCAATTCGTACATTCAATAATTAACCCAATATGAAGGGTTCTCTCTTATTTATTAGTAAAACCGTTTTAACTTTTTTAATACTCTTTCCGCTCTGTGGGCACTAAGAGGACCTCTTTTTTGTAAGTCCATTATGGATACGGCCAGGCCCACAGTGGTGAGGGACGGACCACTCCTGAAAAATTTCTGGGAATTATCCGACCCGTCTGGATTCAATCCCGGGTCCCCTAGAGCGGTAGGCTGCCACCTTGACCGCTCGGCCATCCGGCCGTCAACCGTTTTAACTAGGACGCCTTGGGAGGGAAATTCCGACCCCAGAGCAATCACTAAAAATAATAAATTCAGAATATTGTTAGAGCTTAGTAGCTCTTTGCTACGTTTTCTTGCCTCGAATTTTGGCAGAGGAAAGAAATGCCATGCAAAAAATCCAACAAATTCCACTTTTGAAAAAAATTCATAAAAAGATAATTGTACCATACATAATTACGATTGAAAGTAAGTTCATCAATCGAAGCTGTGAAGAAGAAACTCTATTGCCGCGGCATGCAAAATATTGAATCCAAAGAGAGTATTAATCGAAGACAGACAAGACAATTGAAATGAAGAAACCGAGTTGTTAAACAAAACATCCTTTTTTAATGTCAAGAGTTTGGTTAGAAGAATAAAAATTTTTCACTTACATTTCGTTAAAAAGTAGCAGGAGCAAATTACATTCTTTCCTGATACGAGTATCTCCATTCTAAACGATCTCTCAAACATTGACATTGATAATGCGTTTTCTATCTTTTGGAAATGTTCGGGAATAATCTTGTGTTGTCCCTTTGAAACGACTGAGATATTCTTCTCGACAGAATTTGCAACAAACAGACAACGATTAACCTCTGAACACTTAAAATTAACTAATGCTTACAAGTAGAGAAAGTCCTGTTAAGCCGAATGATGCCGATATTTCAGAAATTGCAAGATAAATCTAGCTGCTAATACTAACATAATCCGATACAAGCACTATGGTCAGATTTTACAGCTTTTTGTTTATTTTTCCTTAGCAAATAAATACTACAGATTCTATCCTCAATGCGTGTTTTACATTAAAACTTAGAAATGTTACACAGAGTCAACTGTCTATAAATCCTTAATAAACCCGTTTATATCTCTTATATATAGAACCTACAGTAGAGTGTTTATATCCTATAGAAAACCAATGTTATCCTCTTTACAAAACAATTTAAATTTATACAAAATAACTATATATAAATTGACAGACCAGTGCATTTCTAACCCCTTCAAATAAGACCTGGCACTTTATTAAACGTTCGTTAAACATGCAAAAGAAATTCGACAGCTCGTTGATAATCTATTGTTAATTTTAATTCAAACAAAATACAATGTTTATATGTGCTATTTGATGTAGTGATATGCTGTTGAAAAATTTTTAAATTCATCCAAAATATTGGGTCTTATTCAAGAAGAATAAATGAAACAAAATAATTCAAAGTTTTCGGTAAAGAATACTGCACAAATTTAGATGTATTTTTAAGCAAATGAGCTAACAGACCCGCAATCATTTTGCTCCAATTAACGAAGGGTGAATTAAGCTCTTATAACAATCACTGTTTGCTCCTCGAGCATTTTAAATCCATGAAATATGCAATTTGCCGGAAAAAACGAGTAAAAAGATTGAAGTTCTCGGGTGGAATTTCGAGCATTTTATCATGTACGACTCTCTTCACGAATTTATACAACCTTACATTAAATTAAAATATTAGCTACGTGTTATATTTGACTTTGTTACAATCTTGGAATTTCTATCACTGATCAACATATTTACATGCATACTTAGTCGATGACGAAAGAATTTCTTTTTTCTGTGCGCAACGAACACAGGTTTTGCTGAGAACGGTGCAAAGTTTATGTGCAGCTTTTTCCGCTGGTGAACAATTAAGAACAATGAGATGACATTCGTTAAATACTCCACATTCCTACAAATGGGAGTCCTAGTGATGTGACAGCGATTCCATTGTCCTGTGTTTAATATTATTTAATTAATGATTATAAACGAATCGCTTTAAAATATATTAAATAGTTTTCTTAACTCTTCTTTCCAATATTTTATCACAGTTGCAGACGAGAGGGCTGTCAATTTCTGCTAACTGCTTCTTGCTATGAGAAGATATAGTTATCTCCCTTGTTTTTCAATTGTCTCCAATAGTCATTTTCTATAACTGAGCATTGTTCGTCCTGTGTGAAGTTAAAAGAAACTATAAATGCATGGAAAAATTGCGTTGTCGTAACTCATAAAAGCATTCCAGTTTCTTCTTTCGTAGTAAAATGCATTTTTGCATTTCGATGAATACATAATAACTAACAAAGAACTTTCTTACAATCAACTTAACGTTTGAATTCCTTTGCAGTAGATCGAAGCCATTGAAAATCTACTGCAGCCTCAACTCTCTCGAGATACGGGCATTGAAAATGATGACGTAAAGTCACTGTAGATTCAACAAAATAGGAACGTTAAGTTTAATTTCGAAATCTGCAATATTGCTGCAGTTGACATGGAGCATCGAACTAAATTTTTCATTTATTTCTGTCAATTGAACCAGTGAAATATTCGGTAGGATACGTACTAATTTATGATAGATTTACTTCTTATTGTCAAAAATGCAATTAATTGGTTGATGAATTCGACAGTATACTGAAACAAAATACACTTTTTATAGAAAACTGTATTGTTTATATATATTGTATAAATAATACAATATATATAAACAATAGTAGAAACAATATATACCTTATTATAATATAGTATATGAGATTTTAAACTTACATTTAAAACCGCTTGCTTCTCGAAGAAAAAGAAATTGCTGCTTCTGAATCCCACTTCGGCTCTCGATATGGACATTAATACTTCCGCCTGAGAACAAAGAACACAAAATTTATTGTACTGTCGTTACGCGAGTTCAAATTTAAAATGTAATAAAAAATCAGACATATTTTAATGAAAATCGAAGTAAAATATTCAGTTTATAAATTATGAAGGAATACTTACGATTTTGTTATTGTCATCGTCAAGGAAATAAATGTCCATTATGCAAGTGAAAAACCGTTCCATCTAAAATGTGTTAATTATATGATTCTCGTTAAACAATTTATAAGGTTGGGAGACAGACAATTCACAAATTTGCTGTAAAATGAAAGTAACTTACGTTCGAAGGAATTCTTGTCAAGTATAGAAAGTCTATTACTATAACAGTCAACAGCCAAAAATACGCAAAGCATATCAACAGAGATTCGTACGTAATCGATACGTAAAGTACTATATATATACTTACAATGCTGATTACGGGAATGAATACTGTTATCAACAAAGCCAGAATAGTTTTGAATATTTTATCGATGCTTTTAATAAAATATACAATCGACGACAGTTCCAGTAGCGATGTCTTGCTATTAACTTCTTTCCTTTGTATTTTTTCCTTTATGTCTATAATAAATGTGTCTATCAATTGAATAGAGATGTAAGTAAGAATCCCAAAGAATCCCGTGCCGTAACAAATGACGCTGACGTTGATAAAAACGCCGAATAATAAATGAAAGGTACAGAAACTTTCTTGCCAGAATAATTTAGAATATCCGTAAACGTTCCTGTAATACACGTACAAAGTGCCAAATAACAAACACACAAATATTTGGACCAAGCTGAAATAAATTACAACCAAATCTTGATAATGCAGTAATTTTGGGTGAATTTTCTTTGCGCATTTTACGCTTTCGTCCAGAATTTTGATCGCATTTATTATGTGAAATGCATTTGTATTGTACAGGTAAAGAAATAACGGAGAAATTAAAAGTGCACCGAATAATACGAAGCGTGAATGGGTTCCGTAGATATCCCACACAACGGGAATGCCACAGAATTCGTCAATATGCGAATTTATAAAAATCTTTGATAATTGATCCGGATAAAAGACGAAAATATAAATTATCGTTATAAAGTATATATTAAATAGGAGCGCTTTAACCCATAAATAATCCTGGCGCTTGGGTATAAATACACCAATGATGCGTAAAACGTTGAGATAAGGACGAATTGCATTTAAAAGAGAATGTTCCATGAATAGATTTGGTTGCTTTTCTATTAATTGTTAACCTGTGAAAAAAAGACTGAAATTATCTCTTGGTCTCCTCGATGTTCTTGGTATTTTCACTACTCACTATCCCATAATATATCACTAAACGCTCAGAGGTAATTTCTTAATTTGTTTACATATTAATTGCATATATTGATTGATATAATGGAATATTAACGTTCTTAATGGTAATATAATTTTAAAAATCCATTATGTTAAATTAATCATTTTGGATGGTGAATTTTAAAAGTTTCAAAGAATGCAAGTGTGAGGACCCAAACGGGATCCGAAAAGAGGTCATTAACGACTTTTCGAATGAGTCAAGTTTCGTAGCGTAAAAGAGCGAACTGAAAGATCGGATTTAAACAATGAACCTTTTGTCTTGTTAAAATATTTTAAACAATAGATAAAGTCGAGGAAAACGAGGTTGGAGAGGAGTCGTGTTCCGACGCGACGTTGACCTCTCCCGCTCCCTTCGTGGGGTTTCGAATTGTCACCATGTGACGAGGA